GCGAGCCTGCTGCGATCTCAATTCAAGCCCTACTGCAATTTTCCCAGGTAAGTTATTCTTGATCTCAAGCTACTTGTTTTTCTTCTTCTCTTCTTCTCTTCCTTTCTCCTCTTCTCTTCTCCTCTCTTCTATTTTCTTCTTGCTCGTACTGTGTTTCATTTTTTTTTAATTTTCAGTCCACTTTCTTACTTTTGGGATTCTAAAAAATTATTTGAGATTAGAAAACTTTGGATGAGAAATTAAAACAAAGCTGCAGCGATTTTCTAATCCAATTCAAACTTATAGTCCCCTGTTCTCTTCTTCTTTGCTTTTTTTGGATTTGAATTTTATTTATTCAAGAAAATGTCACTTTTATAATATGAGAATGTCAAAATTATTGATTATTTGGAAAAACTGTCACGTTTGTGGCGATATATTTATCAGGATGACAATCTGAGAATGTCATATGTCCAAAAGAAAATGTCATTCTTATGGCATTCTATGACATTTTAATGGCTTATCTGAGAATGACATAACTACTTGTTATTAGAATGACATGTTTTCTGACATGTTTTTAAATGATGTCATTTTTATGGCAAACTCTCTCTTTAAAGATGGTTATATGTAATTGTCACAATCATGACATTTTGAGAGCAAACACAACATTTCAAAAAAAAACATAGAGGAAGAAGAAGAAAATCCATGGAGGAGACAAAGAGAAGGAGAATAAGAACGACTGTCATGTTTTTACATATGTAATTGCCACATTCATGACATTTTGAGAGCAAACACAACATTTAAAAAAACAGAGGAAGAAGAAGAAAACGCATGGAGGAGACAAAGAGAAGGAGAAGAAATCATAGGAGAAAGAGCCGAATTTCTGAAATTGGTGAAGCTTCCAATAAACAAATTGAGTGTAGATGGAGGAAGCAGAACAAGATCAAACATTCAAATCTGGAGTACTTTGAGACATAGCAGTAGAAGAAGATTGAACTTGGAGACTATATGTAGCAGAGAAGAACGAATAGTGCAGGAGAAGAGAAGAATGGATAATGCAGGAGAAGAAGATCGATGATGTTAGAGGCGGTGTTTACGAGCAGGATGAACGATAATAAAAGCAAGGGCAATTTGGACATGGAAGAAATGGCGGAAACTTAAACTAGGAGCGGATGACTCCTATAATGAAAAAAAAAGACGTTATGTCCTACTTTGGTTTTTTATCTATGTTTTAGTCTCATTTTGGACAATTTCTTAAAAAAATCACAATATGGATCACAAATTAAAAACGTGTGGCTTAAACAGAACATAACAATTCTTGTGTAAAGATCAAATAGGAAATGTTAGCAACATAAGTTTGTGAAGAAGTGATCAAGTGAGTATTGTTTACATGCCCAAGAATATAATTCAACAATGTTATTTGGCAGTGAATTCATATTGGATGAAATGGTGCTAACAAACAAAATGTTTGACTCTCGTGTTAGATCAAAACAAACCAAACTTAATTAGATTGGATGCGACAAAATTCTATCGGAGCAATTCTTTTACTCTATGTCAGAATATGTCACAAGTCACGTTCATATAATGAAACACAATCTTTCATCGGCTAATACGTTGTATGAGCCATCTAACTATAGAACTCAATACTTCAAAAAGAACTATAGAAGTCAATATTTCATATTTGTACTCAATATTTGTTCAATAGTTGTGACCGAATGCTGAATATGAACACATACATCATACAAGTTAGTTGGTCACCTGATTGTACTTAAATATATATACAACTAATCATATTCTCTATATTGGGGGGAAAGTGGATAGGGGCCCTTATAACCACGTGAAGAAAGTAATAGTTTTCCTATAGGCCATACAAGCAAAGGCCTGTTATTATTTGGTTGGCCTATTTCTATCAAGTATTTTCTTTATTCATGTCATAATATGAAATCTTCACTAATCATTTACTAAATTGCACCCAAAAAGTTCTGTTTGTGGTTAGGAGTCAGGTCAGGCTGGTGAGTGGTGATCTTGTTGGGATTAGTGAGTTAGGATGTTTTTACTTAAACTGTAACATGTCTCAGATCAGACCAAACCAGACTTGAATAGTTATAAAATACGAAGAAACTAGATCAGACCAGTTCAAACCAGACAAGACCGGATCAGATCAGACCAGCAAATTATAGTCCAAGTAAAAACATCCTTATATTACTCTTTCAAGGTAAATGACAAATATATATCTATTTCAAGGGCTGTGATGATCGATTCATGATCTTTTGTCTTGCTTTAATTTTTCTTGTTTCTAATGGTTTAAATCCCAGCCTTTACCATTAAATAAAATTACCCCAAAAAATAAAAAGGATCGAGCAAACTCTTTATAAATTACAAAGTCTGGAGTACTATTTATTATTTAATACGTAGTATGTGATTCAACGATTAAAGCAAACTCTTTTAAATGATGTACCAGAATATATCATTAAGTTAATTTGGTATTATTTTTGACAATTTTTTGGAAACGCTATCCACACTAGATAAGCTGAGCAGGCCGCCTTTTGAGTCCTGAAAAAACTTTAGTAACATACTCCCAATTTAGTTGTAATAATAAAAATGTTAATTTTATACAGAGTAATATGAAATATTAGGTGTAATAATAAAATATTGAATTTGTTGATTTCGAACAGTTTTGTACACCTTGCCTAACCTTTTCTATTTTATTTTCATTATTTAAAAAACGTATTCTCAACAGGGCCGGCTTGAGCATTTTAGAGGCCCTAGGCGGAAAAGGCATAACATTTACAAATCTGTCAGGGTAAAATTTTATTCACTCATCATATAACAATGCACCTTTTGAGAACAATAATTGGCTAAATTTGTTGATTCTACTAAATTTTATTCACTTGCACCTTTTGAGTCCAAGTGTTCGGATTGTTTTTTTCTGCTGAATTACGCAAAATAAAAAATAAAAAAAATGTTAATAAAATAAAGAAATTATTATACAAAAATAGCTTAAATTGTCCTCTACAATAAATTCAATCAATTCAGCCAGAAAAGTAACTCCAACCTCATTTATTTTGATTAATATGCTTCTCAACACGTGAAATCAACAGTGACGTGTTTGGTGAAAAACGTGGATCATAAGACTGATAAGCCGAAAAATTAGGTCACCAAACAGACTTAATATTTACATATTCATATATATATTATAGAGTAGATAGATGGCAAACAAATATTTATGTCAACATAAAAAGCTAAAATTAGCAGATAAATTATACATGATTAATGACACAATTAACTAATCAAACAAATATGAGAAAAGGAGATTAAGTCAAATGCAAAAAAAAAAAGATCTTAAATAAACACATAAAGAATGCAAAACATATATATTAATAATTAGTTACACAAAATAACATTTCTTATTAACAAAAAAGTTCATATAAATTAAATTTTACAATTACAAAAATTAATTGATCACAAAAAGACATACTCATACGGATTGATTGATCACATAAATTAATTGATCACAAGAAGATCTTAACTAAACTGAATACGGAGTAGGTGAAGTATATGAATGAGTCAATACCCATACGGATTATGAATGGCTTGCAATATAATCCATTTTCATTTACTAAATATTAATAAAAAATATTTTTTGAGGCCCCACAAAATTGGAGGCCCTAGGCAAATACCTCTCCTAACTTGCCCTATCACCGGCTCTGATTCTCAACGTTCAAATAAATATAGCCAAGTATATTGTGATCTGATGACATCACTGTGACATTTCCAATTTAAGGAGGTCAAATATTCAAATCTTATCCCAGTTCAAGAATATTGGCCTTAACATAGAGCATATACTATAATAGGTTAGAAAGAATTGACCAAAAAAATGTTGAAATAAATATAGTTTGATCTGGTTGAATTTTCTGTTACAACTGTAATATAAAAAAAAGATTTAACGGTTGAAACTTGAAAGTGTGTTACTCGATATATATGAATTGTAGTATGTTTGGTTCAAGAAATGTCATATTAGCATGAGAATGTTAGATTAAAGGGTATGTTAATTAGATAGATGAGAATGTGATTAATGTATAACCCATTTGTGTTTCGTTACGATTAAGGGAATGACACATTAAGTTGTTTGGTTGAATGATATCTTATATTGCATATTTGGTGAATTACTTGAATGCCCTTTAAATATTTGTCTCTTAACACATTAAACTTAGTACAACCTATAATTAAAGTAATTAAAACTATAGAAAAATAAAACATCTTAGTAATAATTAAAATAAAAACTAATTGAATTAATTCTAAGCAAAATGTTTTTAATTGCACAAATGACAAAGATTAGTGAAAAATATAGTATTAGCTTACAATATATAGTATAATTGTATAAATAATTTCAAACAACTATAATGAAAAAAATACAGTATAATTTTAAAAATTGCAAAATGAAGAGTGGTATATCAGAAGTTAAGAACTTGGATTAGATTAATGAACCATGAGTTTTTTGGAAGAAAATTTATAAGCCACCAGGAATCTAACATAACCTAAGGCTCTAGTGGGTTTTACATGCCCATTCATGTGATCACTTTTTCCACTTTTGGGAATGTAACTTTCCCAAAAAAAAATCAAACCCGTGAACCAAATACAGATATCTCACATTTCGGGCATCAGATTCCGCCCTATATAAGATATCACATTGAACCAAACACTGCATACCCTTTTCTATACCGCGAACAATTTTTTTACACCTTGCCTACCCTTTTCTATTTTATTTTCATTATTTAAAAAATGTATTGTCAACGTTCAAATAAATATAACCAAGTATCTTGTGATCTGATGATATCACTGTAAGTCTGTGATACTCCCAAGGAGGTCACATGTTCAAATCTCATCCCAGTTCAAGGATATTGGTCTTAACATAGAGCAGATACTATAATATGTTAGAAAGAATTATCCAAAAAAATGTTGAAATTAATATAGTTTGATCTGGTTGATTTTTCTATTACAATTGTACAAAAAAAAAAGATTTTAACGGGGTGGACTCACTTTCACATTACTTGCTTTGTGAATTCGAGAGACTTCTTACTTCTACTTTGGGTAATTTGACTATGGGATCCTGTAATGATGGAAAAACTTCTGAAATAGAGAATGCTACAGAACAAAAAGAAAACTCAGGTGGCGGTATTAGAAGCGGTCATGCTCATCTAGGTGGGGTTTCTAGAGGCAACCTTTATGATGTTTTTGACTGTGATGAATTTTATGGTGGTCTGGATTCCATAATCTCGGGTGATGAATTTCTTGGTCATGTCTCAGAAAACGAAAAAAGGGTTCCATTTTCAACGATGGAGGATCTTTGGGACTCAGATACAAATGAGATTATTTGTCAAAAAGGTCTATTGGTTACGCCAGATAATTGCCCGCCTACTCAGAATTTAAACACCCAAAAAAGAATGTACAAGAAGAGGAATCAACGATCACATCTTATGAGAACTAGATCTCAAACTCGAGCGGAACTATGAAGATGTGTCTGAGGGTTAATGTTTAGTTTGGGAGGGGTTTTATTATACTTTGGGTTGGGTATTTATGTTTAGCTTGTTTTTAATTTGTTCTCGTTTTTTTTCCTTCTGTATTTTCTTTTGTACTTTTTAGGTTGTTCTTTTTATTAATAAAGATTTCCATTTGGCAAAAAAAAAAAAAGATTTTAACGATTGAAAGTGTGTTACTCCATAGTTCATATACATGAATTGTAGTATGGGTCGGCCTACCAAGTCAATTCTTCATAACCCAGAGAGTCGCGTCTTGACTCTTGATCATGTTTTTTTCACACTATCCGCCTAGTTGTGAAACAAAACACATGCAATTTCTGAATTCAAATGAAATACGGATTATATTTTTACCTGAACTTCTGGTCTGATACATTTTAATGGAAATAATGGCAAGGATATTACTTGTACACTTTACATGGAAAAAAATATGACCAGTTTTTAGTTGGACAGAAAACTAACCATTTAAAAATAAAAACTCTCCCCTCCTGCCCTCTCTAATTCCCGTCGTCCTCTGCGAAATCAGCGCTACCAAAACTCCTTGAGCCTTGCGACAAAGATGGCACCAGCACTTGCGATGAAGATGGTGACCATCGATTCCTCTCCTTTCTTTTGCAATAGAGAGAGACGAAGATAGCGACCATCGATTCTCCGATCGATCCCTCTCCTTTCTTCTGCAATGGAGATCGACGAAGATGGCAATCAGCGGAGGCTACGGAGGCGCCGGCCGCTGCAATCCCTCTCCTTTCTTCTTGTCTGTAATCCACCACTGCTCGCACACATCTGCTCGCCCGTCGTCGCCGTTATCCCATGGAGCAGCCGTCCATTTTTTATGGTTACTGTTTCAGATGGATGGCTAGAGTTCAGATCTAATGTAGTGGTGCGATTTTGAGGTCAATTTTGTTCGGCACTTGGGTTGTATGGTGGAGAACAGTGGTTGGGGTGGTTGGAGAGGGGTGGCTTGGGCCTGGAAGGGGAAGTGGTCATGGTCTGTGGTGGCGGCCGAAGGGTAAACTGGTAGGAGGGGGCGAATTCTATGGCGATGTTGGTCGGTCAGTGGCCAATTGTGGAGCTCGGGGTGATGGGTCAGGGTGAGGGTGGGGCAGGATCGGAGTGGTGAGGGCAGGACTGGGCCTTAGGGTGATGGGGTAGTGCAGGGGGCTGTCGTGACTCGTGATGGTGGTGGGGGAGGGCGGGGAGCAAGGGTGTGGTGGTGGTTTGCAGTAGTGGTTACTTAACCAGTGCTGCGTCTATTTCACTGTCTATTTCACTAAGCTGGCCCGCGTTGCTAAAGGAAAACACAATAGTGACATTTTTCATAGTGTTAGTGACATGGACGGTGGCTACGGTGACACGGGCGGTGGCTATAGTGACACAGGATGCGGCTTTAGTTACACGTGTGGTGGCTACAGCGACACGTGGGGGGCTACAGTGACACGTGTGGTGGCTACAGTGACACGTGCAGCGGCTATGGTGACACAGGCGGCGGCTACAGTGACACATGCAGTGGCTACAGTGACACGGGCGGGGGCTACAGTGACACGGGCGTTGGCAACAGTGACACGGGCGGTGGCTACAGTGATATGGGCGGTTGTTGTTGTGGCGGGGTGTGGCTACAGTGACACACGGGCGATGATTGTAGTGATATGAGTGGTGACTGTAGTTACAAAAAAACGAACACGCAGTGACATAAAATTTTTGCAGTTACGATATGTTTTCTAATTGCACATATATGACCTTCTTAGTCACTTTTTTGTCCCTTTTTAAAAATGGTCACTTTTTGGGTAATTGGTTCAAAATTACTAATATCCAAGTAAAAACCCCATTTTAATGTCTAGTTCATATTTTACTACTCCGTATTATCTACGTAACTAGGTTTTTTATATGGTAAAGATTTGATAAGTTCTGGTGTATTTATATGTTTTGTTATATATTTTTTATGTGTGTTTATATATTTTTTTCTTTACTATTATTGTTTAAAGTGAAATCATCTTAACTTGTAAGTCTCCAAAGAGAAAACAAATCGTAAAGACAACAATTAACTTCTATTTCCGCTTGAGGTGAAATTCAACTCCATTATACTATGTTAAACAAAAAATAATGACAAAGATAATTAGAGTATAGATTCACAACAAATAACTTACCTGGTGGAATTGTTTGAAATCTTGTTTGAGAATAGAGGATCAAATTATTTAATCTCAAGTCCTCAACCCAAACGAAATATTAGAACAGATGCCTCATTTGGATTCATTTAGTTATCAGAATAAAATTATTTTATTTTCTGAATTACTTATCAATCCCTTATTTGGTTCTGAGCACCGAAACCTATTTCACTTATCTGGAATGACAACCTTATTCAAAGTCCAAGAAAACCAGATAAACTTTGACATTCTTGGTGCACCAAACACTATACATGGCTAATAATGTTGACACGAGTTAAATTAGTTAATTAGCATTAAATTATACAAGTATTTAGGCAATGTAGTACATGGGATTTGGAAGCTTAAATGAGCGTAGAGAAATGGATGAACCAATGAGATCACTCCATTGGTCGCCGGAGTTACCAACAATCCTGAAACCTTCTTCTACCATCTGATTCCGTTTCTCGGATTTATAGAGCAGCGCTGATTTTTCATGATCCTCCGGTGACCTGTATGTTTTCAGGTAACAAAGAACAAGTCACTTACAAATTTTAGGATAGTATTGGCATTCTCATCTACTCTCAATTCACTTATTTGTCCATTTGAAACTGTTATTTGCTGTGTTCATTGTAATGATCTAGATCTACGATCATATCTTCTGCTGCATGGCTTTGTAGAACATCAGCCCCCATTGCAACACAACTTTTGTTCTACCACTGCATCTATAGGATTGTTGGTTGATGGAACCGGTGATGTTACGTTTTTTGGGAGCATGCTTGAATGGGATGAATTATTTGGTAATATTATTTGTTAGAATGATTTGAGATCAAGATATGAATCCAGATTACTTTAACATTACTCTGCATAGTAGAAGAGAGAGGATGTGAGTTCATGGCCTGCAAAAAATTATACTATTTGGATATGATGGTGGAGGGTGATTTAAGAACGTTTCGTGATTATTCAAAACAAATTATGTGTCGATAACTTGGACGTAAGGACCACAAACATAATTTGAATAAATAGCTATGTGATGCTAATAATCAAAACTTTATTACAAACACCATTTTTGTAATGTTAGAGGGTGTTTTGAAGTGTAGGATCACAAAAAATGTAGGATGGGTAGTTGGTATTTGATTTTTGTAACATTGCTGATATCTACATGCAGTTGAATGGTTCTAAGGGATAAGGCTTCCTTGCCATCATTCCACAAAGCTATACAACAGAAGGTTGAGGGTGGTTTAAAGTATAGAATGAGAAAAAAATGTAGGAAGGCTGGTTGGTCCATTTTTGTAACATCACTGATATCTACATGCAGTTAACTGGTTCTAAAAGATAAGATTTTATTGCCATCATTCTACAAAGCCATACAGAAGAAGGTTGAGGATGTTGTAAAGTGTAGAATGACAAATAAATGTAGGATGGCTGCCTGGTAGTTCATTTTTGTAACATTGCTGATATTAACATGGTTCTACAAGATAAGGTTTTCCTGCCATCATTCTACAAAGCCATACCGCAGAAGATATGATCGTAGATCTAGATCAATACAATACATACATCAAATAGCAGTTTAAAATGAACAAATAAGTGAACTGAGAGTAGTAATTTGTTGTGAAGATATGATCGTAAATCTAGATCAATACAATACATACATCAAATAACAGTTTAAAATGAACAAATAAGTGAACTGAGAGTAGTAATTTGTTGTTATAAACTCCCTCCTTCCCAAAAATGAATCCCTCTTGTTGGTTTATAAAAAGTATCAATATCACCAATCTTTCTAGTGGGAATATGCTCTAGCTAAGTTGGACATTTAATATTCTTTAAGAAAAAACCAGACATGCTACGTCAATACCAAACAGGTTGGGCCAATATATGTGACACCACTGCAGGTCCTGCAACTTATACATTTCTTTCCATTTCATGAGAAGAAATCGTCCCACCCTCCCCTTATGGTCCGTTTCAATAAAGGTTTTTGGTCCAGAATTACACGACCAAAGTTGAGAATGGTCCAAACTTCAGGGCTGTTTTGAGTATTTCCAGTACAGCATAAAAGATATGAGACCAAATATGGAATTTGAAATGAAAACAATATTGTCATAGTTAGTATGTAGTAATTGTTAATACACAAAAACATGAACATCTTAAAACTTACCTAAGAATGAGCTTATCCCAATCTCGGAAACCAGCTTTTGCCAAATTATCTACTGTAACTTGTCTATGCCTTTCACTCCTTCCTGTCAGCAAGAAAGCTTTGAACCCTAACCCTTTAATTTCTTGATAAAGCTTCAAGCTTGACTTTATTGCTCCTCCTTTTCCCTTCTCAACCCATTTATCAAACTCCACCCCATCAAATACCTCCATCCTGCAATCGCCTCAAATCAATAAGGATAAAGAATAAGTGGAAAAACAAATCAAGACTATGAATCACATGTTAAATACATTAGAGAACCATCAAACACAAAATTTCAAGAACCCCAATTCAAATCAAACTAAATTAAACTAAATAAACTTGATTAATCATCAAGTGACTCTGTAACTCGCTTTGGACGGACTCATCAAGTGAAATTGAACTGGTGGGTATACTTCATCTAGTAAAGGAAAATCTGTCATATTGATTCGCTTTATAGTAAGAATATTTGAACTCATGGATTGGTGCGAAGTCTAGTTGCCTGACACTCTTTTTGCCTTATGGTAAGACCGTAAGAAGAAGAATCAAACTCAAATCTGGGACTTGCTTGCTACCCATGCTAGCTTCCCTTTGCTAAGAAGAGTTAGCTACATTATTTCATTGTTCTTTTGCCTGGCGCTGGGCCATCCTGGACTTGAACCAGAGACCTTGCCCGTGAAGTAAATCATCGTGTCAAGTCTGAAAACCAAGCCCGGGCAAGAAGAGGGAAAGGGAACCTCACACAACAACAAAACGGAAACGGCCGTATATACCTCTCTGATGATAGTTTCGTACCCATTTGAGAAAGAGTTTTGAGAAAGGAATCATACAGAAGCTCCTCAATTTGGTAATAAACACCATCAGGCAAAAAGCCAGAAACATATGCTCAAAAACATGTTGAGAGTAATAAGGGAGGTTTGAAGTAAAATGTTGTAAAACAACCATCACAATTAACAATTACAAAAAAAAAACAATAAAATTAGATTTGATCAGTGTTCTCATTAGAAACATACCTAAGACCATGCTGAGATTAATAACAGAGATTTGAAATCACATGCTAACAACAAATCCATCACAATTGACCAGTACAGGAAAAACACAAAAATTACCCCTGTTAAATTTTAAATTAAATAAAAATAAATTTGATCAATGCTCTCCTTAAAAACATACCCAAAACCATGCTGAGAGTAATAAGGGAGGTTTGAAATGAGAGTTTCATCCACATCAAACACCCAAACATCCTTTCCATCCCCTCCCAATTCCACGCTTCTGGCATAATCTCCAGCTTCCTCAGAGATTAATAGAAGATCACTTTCATATCCTTTTCCTGTCATATACTCCTTCACATACGCACCACATTCTTCTGGAATGGTCTTCCATGGCCTCAGATTATTAGCCTCCCCTGCAACCCTCCAACTTGTACACTTTGTCTGAACATCTTCATCGATAATTCCTGGGTATTCAATTACCAAAGGCCTTGGAAAAGTATGTGCGTCAAGATTTTCATTTGCTAATGCTAAGGAAAACAGGATCGAGAAAAGGGAAATTCTCAAGGCTCCCATTTTCTGGAATCAGGAAACCCCCTTTTAGAACTTCCAAGGATACATGAAATGTACGTATGCCGATCCTATACAAATGTATATATACAAAAGCGATGGAGGTGCTTTTCTTGATCAGAATATGAAACCCTTTGAACAGGAAACCTTAATACGGATTTCTATACAAAGGGTATCAGGGGGTTGATGGTGGGGAAAAGAAGGGCGTGTTAATGGCGCATTTGAAGAACTTAACAAAGATCTTCAGGCTAAATGTATGTGACATGTACGAATATACCTTTTGTGATGAATACTTCATATCACACGTAACATCATACTGTGTACCGTATACTATTTGAATGATTCAAAACCAACTTTTTTACAACAACAATGGGACGTTTTCTTATTTTATTCGAATATGTACCATACAATAAAAAAGGGGAGGTTTTCCTATGCTTTCTTATCCTCCCTCCGTCCCGGAAAATTGTTCCCGCATTGACTTGGAACGAAGTTTAAGAAAGTGGGAATAAAGTAGAATTGTATGTTTATGGTTGAGTAAGAAAAAAGTAAATGAATTGTAGCCACAAAAAACTTTCCAAAAGGGAAAAGTGGAACAATTTTTTGGGACGGCCCAAAAAGGAAACCGGGAACAATTTTCCGGGACGGAGGGAGTACTCCGTAAAAGAAGGTTGTGCTAGATGTACACATTTTTGTGTGCACCTTTTGTACTCATGTATACAAAATCATCTGTTTATAGATAATTTTATAGAATTGTCTGCTGACAGACAATTCTGTCTGTGTGAGACAGACGAATCTATAGATAATACAATTCAAGGTTACAATTAGGGAAAGTTTGCCATGTGTCATCTTCTAAGCAAATTTAGCATACTAATTATATATATACTTCGTTTACATAATTTCACTTATAGTAGAACTAATGTCACGTTAATACTAAGCTATTGGACTCCTACCTAATTATAACTTTCTAAAGGTATGTAATTCAAAAAATAAATAAAATCTCATATTTATTTTAATGTGATATAATTTTTTTATTTGTAGTCCGATTGCTACAAAAAATATATCATAATTCATAACTTTTTATTATCTTTCATATGACACCAATATTGCATATATAAAAAAATCTATTAAGTTTTGGCAATTTAGATCGTTTTTTACAGGACACACAATTAATGAGGACTGATACTTTCGAATAAAACCGCACACACTCCATTACTTTTATTTATTGTTTTATTCTTTGCGGTAGAATATGCGCAGTTTTATTCTAAGCTATCACTCCGATTAATAGTGTGCGACTGTGTGTGGTAAAAAACGATCATAAATTCCACAAATTAATAGGTTTTATTTTTATAAGCAACATTGGTGTTATATGAAAAGTAATAAAATTTCAGGAATTCTGATATATTTTTTGTAATAATCGTAGTATAAATAAAAAAAATATACTCCGTAGCACTTAAAAAACTGAAGCTTTAAAGTGTTAAATTACTTCCTCCGTTCTTAAATAAATGCAACAATCAACATTTCACATTTGTCGAGGCACAACTTTGACCATTAATATGTATAATTTTCTATTAGTAAAAAAAATGAAAAAAAAATAGATTATGAAAATTTACAATGAGACAAATTTAACAATATTTTTTTCAAAAAAAATTTATTAATACATTAATAAATAAAATGTAGTCAAAGTAGAGCATGTGAATAGTGCAAAATTCCACATGTTGCATTTATTTAAGAACGGAGGTAGTATATTTTTTATATATATTCAATATTGGTGACATATAAAAGATAACAAAAAGTTATTAATTTTGATATATTTTTTGTAACAATTGTATTACAAATAAACAAGTTATAGCATATTAAAATAAATATGAGATTTTATTTTGTTGGGCCCCCGATGAATTCTAATTGAACACGATAAAATTTCCTTAATTTATAATTGTATCTTTAAATTTTTAAAAATAATGGTTTGAGTAATTCTTTGTAATACATATACGGTGTGATATATTATGACTCATAAAAGCTACTCCCTTCGAGCTGAGGAAGTGGTCCAGCCTAGCTGGTTCCGGACTCACTCTCCCTTATGGGAGGTCCCGAGTTCAATTTTCAATGGAATGAAATTGATCCCAGTTTACCTCAGGCTCTCCAAACCCCCTCCACCCAACGCCCCCTGGCGTTAAAAAAAACTACTCCCTTCATCTAAAAAGATTGACCTGTTTGGCTTTTTATGGTCAATTGTGTTAAAGTTTAGACAATGATTTTTAGGTATCATATTTGTGTGTAATTTATAAATTTTATACTCTTACCAAAGATTTTTAAATAAAGACTAACCTCATATAGTGCCCGTTTGGTAATACCAAAATCGGTTGCATCAACCGATTCTGCTGAAATTTACAAAGTTCTGGCTGAAGTGGCTCGATTATCTGATTCTGCTGATTCACGTAAAAATTATATTTAAAATAAATTTTACTAATCATTTAAAGAAAACTTATATGAAAAAATAGTTAAAATGACAATCTACAGTAACTTTAGCTAATAGAGCCAGAAAAGTATCTTCAACCTTACTTTTAAGTATTACTACACATTTCAGCGTGCAAAATCAAAAGTTACGTGTTTGATAAAAAAATTTGACTAATAAGCCTGATGAGCCGAAAAACATGCTCACCAAACGGGTTCATAATTTTCATATTTCATTGGTCAAAGTCGAGCACTATTGACTAAGAAAAGTTAATTTGGTCAATCTTTTTTGGACAGAGGGAGTATTATAAATTAGCATTAGGTACATGTATTCAAAATTTAAAATAAGTATAGCAATTTTGAAAATCTTATTTTTAAACTATTCCAATAATTTAAAAAAACAATTAAAAATTATGGAAATTTTGTCGCGTTCGGTTAAAATTAAACACAGTTTTATACATTATTTATGTAAAATTTTCTCACTGTCCCTATGGGCTCACGGAATAGGATAATGTTTAGCACTTTGAACTGTAGGTGGAAACTAATGTTTGAATTAATTGCTATTATCTGAATTAGAGATTATTGTCTAGATCTGAATTTTGAATTGTTGTATCTAAACTGTTACTTGGATGAGACAAATCTGTTTGACAAAAAAGTTAAAAATGACCTGACCAAATCAGACCATACAAATACGACCAGATCCAATCAAAATAAACAAATCAGAATTATGAATTATGGAGATTTTATTGTGTTCGATTAGACACTACCAAAGTTCTACACATTAATTATGTAAACTTTTCTCAATGTCAATCTATAGATGATACATTTATTTATCATAATATAGGTTAGATCATATCAAATCAGATCAAACCAGAAAATTCGAGTTCAGTTAAAAACATATTTAAAGGAGTACTCTCTAAATTTAGAACTCCGTATCAGATTAGAATAAATCTCCCAAAACATTCTACACATTCTAATGCTGACCGGGCTGAACTTGCAAGTGTACAAGTGCCGATATAGTAATAAATTCTGGTAAAATACCGGGTCGAATCCACAGGGAAACGTTGTTTAATTTAGTCCGCGAGTAGATGAATAAGTAAATGAGTAAAGTGTAGGGATTTTGAGTTGTGTGTTGTTGTGAAAACAACAACTTGGTTCTTCTTTTTAATTTTCAGAGATATAACTTGAATTAATTTGATTAAAGTGATTGATAACAACAACTAAGGCTTCGGGAATCACTTAAATGCTTTAATAGGGTTGAATATTAGTTCTTTACCAATAATTATGAATACGATGTCGCTAATATATTCTCAACTCCGGTTAAGGCAGCGAGAGCGTGGTTTTCGTTACGTGTAAGTCCCGTTACGGCTTACATTCATCTACCGAAAACCCCGTTGAATATCAAGACATCACACCCGTATCATATAATACCGGATATAGTTCTATTCTCGGTAATATATATGTTTATCCTTTAATGTTCATAGTTTAGACCTCAACGTTAATTGCAAGCATAAACTAAGTTTAACATACTTCTATGTTGTACACCATAGTCATAAACAATCAAAATGTAAAGGATAAATCACAATTTATTGGTTTAGAACTTTTATCAAACACCTAGTGGGCATAGAAGTTCATCCCTAGCCTTAGCTAAGAACTTAGCTCCTTGAGCTCATATTAATTACAAAAGTATAACTAAGAACAATGAAATACAATAACATACAAGAAATAATACCTAGAACCAATTATAGAGGAGAGAAATGGCTTCTTCTCCAACACTTCAAGAAAATGCAAAAAGGAAATATAAAAACTGAAATTTAATCTTCAAGGATGGAATGATGATCTTGTTTGATGAATTGGGGGCTTTATATAGGCTCAAGATTGACATCTTTTAGTCTATTCGAGCCCAACAATCAAGCATGGAAGATATATTTGATTAGCTCATGAGGAAGGTGAGTTTTTTCCATCAAAATATTTCAGCACGTTCTTTTGTATTTGCAGGATCAGACCTACCCGGCGCCGGGTTCAGGCCTACCCGGCGCCGGTTCTTCATTGTGCGCAGGGAAATATGAAATTTTGGCCTACCCGGCGCCGGGTATAAGGCCTACCCGGCGCCGGGTAAGCTACTGGTTTGTGTACATGTGAAAATCAACAAACGGGCGCCGGTTTGGTGCAAATTCCGGTGTCGGTTTTGTCCTGGGATTTTGGGGATGTTCCGCTACGAATTTGGACATGATTCCTTCACCAAAGTTGTAGATAATGAAGTCTTCTATCCAACAAAACTTGAATGACATGATTTTATTCAGCCAATCAAGAGATATGGATAAAACACTGAGAGGTATGCATCCTGAAATCCCACCAGCAACATCTGACTTTGTTGGTTGATTGAGTCTTGTTCCTTTCATATTTTGGTCATGACGTCTTCATAACATTTGTACCTTATTGAGTTAGCATTCACATGAAACTCGAATCGAGTGATTTCGAGTTCTATAGAATACGTTATACTCAAATTATGGGCAGAACGTCATTCTCTTGGTCCAAAAAGTCGTTCATCGCAATGTTTTATGATCAAGCTCTCATTCTGGAGGTATTTGCCCGATTTCTCTTCTTTTCTTCAACAAATACTTATAAATACTTATGTTAAACACAAGTAAATATAACGGCTATCAAATGCCCTAATATAATACTAATAAGAGTAATAAAGATGTTTTTAATTTGATCGATTTTTTTGCTTAGACATATCTGAATGCTTTTTACAGTTATTTAGAACTATTTTTTTATCGTTTGAAAAGTGAGAAATAATATTTTGAGCATTATTTGTAATACACAATGGTGTGATATTA